TAGTTTCGCCAGAGTGAAAGTTTCCTGGGAATTCTGGGAGGTTTTAGTAATAACCCCTCTAGGCGCAGCCACTCTCCCTCCCCGGCCCCCCAGCCCCTTTGGCCATTTTGCATCTAGGAAAAACAGCCTGGCTTTTCCTTTGGGGAGGGGGGGGGGAAACACACCAGTCTCTATTAATAGGATGCTATATTTTCTTCTCCGTAAGGAGACACCTGCAAGGCTGCGCTACGCGCCCCCCCCCCCGTTCCCTCTGCAGGAGAGACCCCGCTGCGCAGATTGCAAGAATCAGGATGTTTTCCCCCCTCCCTCCCCTTAATCTCCCCCCTCCTCCCTAAACACAACAAAGCGATACGACATCATAAAGCAGTACGCATTTTTTTCTTTTTTTTTACTGGAGCCGCCTAAACTTCCACGCGCCTTCTGTCGGCACCGAGTTTCTTCGGCGTCGCTTTCCGCCACGTGCCGGGCTTCAGTCCTCTCCTTGTTTGAAAGTTAATTTCAATTTCTTTTGGGGAGGTAGGAATCTCTCTGCCCCCACCCCACCCCGCAAAAAAAAAAAGAGTCCCGGGATTTGGGAGTTTTCGGAGGAGCGACCCGGAACGGTGGGTTTTTAAGGTGCTGACCGGGGTGGGAGAAGCGTCCGTGTTCCGTCTTCGTGCCAGGAGGAAAAAAACAGGGAAACGACCGCGCCCTTCTGCTCCAAGAAGTGGGTGGGTGGGTGGGTGGGCACACTACTCGCTGCTCCCTGCAGCCGAGGGGCTCTCGGGTTTGCTGTTGCTGGACTCAAGCGTTTCCGAAGGCTTCGCAGCGTCGTCAGAGGTCGGGCGGTGGGTTGCCAGCTCTTGGTTCGTCTCGGTGTCCTCCGACGCCGGGCTGGGCTTTTTCTCCTGCTTCAGGAATTGCCGGAGCTTCTCCATGTGCTGACGGAGGTGCTGCTGCTCAGCCCGCAGAGTCGCGGCCTCCTGGCGCAGGTGGCCGATGGTGGAGACCAGCAGGGTCACCACGCGCTTGGCCTCGGCCACTCGCTGTTCCAGTATCTGGCGAGGCGTCTCTTGCAAAGCCGGTTCCTCGGGGTCGGTCGTGGACGGCTCCTGCCTTTCTTCCAAATCGGGGGTGGGCACCCCAGGCATGATGCCAAGCCGAGGTACACACACACACACACACACAACAAATAAAGGGGTGGCGGAGAGGCTCCCTCGCGGTGCAGGCCCGACGTCCCAAAAGAAAGCAGACCCCGGACTTCTCGGCTGCCTGACTTGGTCCACGGGTCACAAGGCAAGGAGGGTGGGCTGAGCCTTGATGTCAGTGGGCAGCTATTCTGGTCGGGGAGAAGCCCTGTCCTGGGTGGCATTTCCCCTGACGGACAAGGACAGAAGGCTGGAGAGGAGCCAAGCGACTCGGCTGGTCTGGTGGGGGGGGGGGGGGGGGGGGGAAAGGGGGGAGGAGGAGCTGGGCTTGTCCAGAGAGAGGGAAAAGAGAGAGAAAGAGAGAAAAGAGAAGGGGAAAAGAGAGAAAGAGAAAAAAGAGAAAAAGAGAGAGAGAAAAGAGAGAGAGAGAGAAAGAGAGAGAGGGAAAAGAGAGAGAGAGAGAAAGAGAGAGAAGGAAAAGAGAAAAAACAAAAGAGGGAAGAAGGAAAAGAGAGAGACGGAAAGAAAGAGAGAGAAAAGAGAGAGAAAAGAGAAAGGGAGAAAAGAGAAAAGAGAAAAAAGAAAGAGAGAGGGGGAAAAGAGAGACAGAAAAAGAGAGAAAAAGAAAGAAAAGAGAAAAAAGAAAGAGGGGAAAGTGGGAAAAGAGAGAGACAGAAAGAGAGAGAAAAGAGAGAAAAAAGAGAAAAAAGAGAGAGGGGGGTGGGGGAAAGAGAGAGAGAAAAGAGAAAGGAAAAGAGAGAAACAAGAGAGAGGGAAAAGAAGGAAAAGAGAGAAAGAAAAGAGAGAGACCTTTTGACCTTTGCTGCACCCCCAATGGTCACACGATCAAAATTCAGCCGCTGGGCAACTGGTTCATATTTATGGCCCTTGCTGTGTCCCAAGGTCACGTGATTCCCCCTTTGGCCACCGGAACGCCATCGTCCCCTAGCGGCACGAGGCAAAAATCCCACGAGGGAGCTGAGCCCCCCTATTCCCTTCCAAATACTTTCAGCCGAGAGGGGAGGGGAATCCCTGGACTCACACACACCTGGGGGAGGAGGGGAGCATTCCTCGCAGGTCCTAGCAGAGAGGGAGGAAGGAGGAGGAGGAACAACCTGCCTCACCTGAGCGGCTGCTCCCAGTCTCCGTCCTCCCCGGCGGCCTGAATAATGCAGGGCTCAGCGGCGGAGATCGGATTCCCGGCCTGGAACCGCTTCGCCTCGCTTCTGCCCTCTTCAGTTGTGCATCCCTCCATCCCGATTCGCATCCAGGACCACGCAACCCTGACTGCTTCCACGGGAGTGCCGAAGGGCTACTTCCTCACCTGGGCAGGGGAGGGGGCTTCTCCCAGGGGGCTGCTTCTGCTGGGTCAACACAACGCCCCTTTTCCTTGCGGCCGGAAGGATTTTCTGAGCTGCCTTCGAACGTCATCCCTTCAAGAGGGGCAAGGCAGGCCAGCGCTTAGCTTAATCGGCCTGGACACCAAGAGGGGAGGGGGAGGCTGAGGGAGGGGGGGGGAGCTCCTGCCCTCACTGCAGCCAGAGAAGAATTGGGGGTGAGGGGGTTGGAAGCGTCACCCCGGTGGGTCTCCAATTGCCAGGCTAAAATTGCAACCCTCTCTTTCAAATTCCAAACTTTTATTTTATTTTGCCAAAGCAGCATACAGGTCGTCCCAAAAATTTCGTTTAGGGGCCTGAAAAGGAGATTTACGACCGTTTCTCACACTCATGACCATTTTTCACACTTACAACCGCTGCAGCGTCCCCACAGTTGCGTCCGATCAAAATTTCAGACTCTTGGCAACAGGTTCGTATTTAACAACGGTTGCAGCATCCCGAGCTTCTGACAAGCGAAGTCAACGGGGAAACCAGGTTCGTTTTAACATACCGTGCGACTAAATCAACAACGGCGGTGGCTCGCTTAACAACCGTGGCCAAGAAAGGCCGTAAAATGAAGCAAAACTCACTCAGCAATAGGAATAGGATTTATAGACCACTTTGCAGTGCTTTCTGGCCCTCCCTAAGCAGTTTATAGAGTTGGCCTCTTGCAAACCCGAACAATCTGGGTCCTCCTTTTACCGACATCTCGGAAGGATGGAAGGCTCGAGTCGCTGAATAACCGAGGCACAAAGTCATCCCCCCAAATATAAAGTACGTGTAATTCTATCATCATCATCCTCTTTTAACAACCCCGTAATCCCTTGTGGGGTGAAGTCTGGGCCAACGGAATGGAGCTGAGTATTTACTGGCCGGATGCCTTTCCTGTCACCAGTATGGAGTTTTTTTTGTTCAGCAAATCGTGCCCAGAGAGAGAGAGATATGTGCCGCTACCTAGGATCGAACTCACAGCCTCCTGATTGTGGGGCGAGAGTTACACCTCTAGGCTACCGTGCCGCTCAACTCTAACTATCGAAAGCCTGAAAAAAAGACACAGCTGCCTTAAAGAGGAGACCCAACTCCCTCCGTTCTGCCCCCACATCGCTTCCAAAAGGACAAACCGCCCCAGTAGACTGGCTTGCCAGATCTTTTACGGCGCCAACGCAGAATTTGGACCACCAGACAAATATCTCCATCCAGAACCGAAGTGTTCCTCCCCCCCACCCCTCCCTTCAGAACCGAAAACCGACAAAAGGAGACGGACTCACCTTCTCAAAGCTGCCGCTGGAGCCGCCATGGCTGGAGGGGGTGATACGCAGCGGGGAGTTCCTCAGCCCCAAGGTCAGCTCTGCGGGGTTTGGGGGGGGGGGGGAAAAAAAAAAGGGGGGGGGGAGAGATGAGTCCCAGAAAGGCTATTGCGAGAGAAAAAAGGTTAACTAGGATTTGGCCGTAGCTGCTCAAGTTCCTGCTTCACAAGAGTTTGCACGCACACAGATGTGCAAAAATCGGAGAAGAGGTTTGAGAGGGACGTGAAGCTAAAAATATAAAATAAATCCGAAATGTTTCTCTGGACCAGTTGTAAGAAGGATCAAAGGGGTTTAATCTCTCTCGAGCGGGAGGGAAAAGGGGCTCCCTTAAATAGGAAGCATTCTGGGGGGGGGGCCCTCACCCCAAATTTGGACGCTGGGCCACTTGGCACATTATCTATGACGGTTGCAAATTTCCTAGTCACTTTTGGCAAACTTCCGACAAGGAGTTAGATTCATTTAACAATTTCAACAGCCGCAGGGAGTCACAATTGGGGGCGAGGCAGGTTTTGAAATGGTGGGAGGGGGGGGGGTAAAACTCACTGAAGAACCGTCTTGCTTAACAACAGATTTGGGGCTTAAGTCACGGTCGTTAAGTCGAAGGGCGACCTACGTATCCTGGTCTAACGCCGCTGTTAAGGCCAACGTGCTTCGTTGAAGCTGTCTACACCTTTCCAAGCAACCTTTCATCAAGCAGAATCCTGCGTTTTTTTAAGCCGGCGCCGCCAATGCCCTTCGGGTCTCCCGAGCAGCAAGGCTTGGCTGGGAATTATGGGGGCTGTAGTTCAGGGCCTGGAGGATGGGTCGGCAGGTCATGCAAAGCGCAAAGCTGCAGCCGACAAACCAGTCTTCAAAGCGAAGCCAACAGGATTCGATATGGATGGAAGGAGGAAGCTCTGGAGCGTGCAACGCAGCTGCACAACACAACACAACACAACACAACCACCAGGGACATGCGTTCCTCGGCATCCGTAGGAGTGAGGCACCATCATCCACAGCCTTTTGTAAAACCTAGATGTTAGCCTGCTGTGGACTGTGGAGGGAGAGCTCTTATGTGGGCAACAAATAGGTTTCCTCAGCTGGTAAAGAAGGAGCCGGTGCCAGGATTTAAAATACACACACACACACACACACACACACACACACACACACCACCACCAATAAAACTTTCCATCCAGTGAAGTTGATAAACATCAGCCGGCCCTTTGCGTGCAGAAGTGATTTCGCCCAAAATAGGAAAATTTCCAACCTCGGGAACCTTTGCTCACACAGGAAAGCAGTTCGGGGCTAACTTTTCAACCGGTCACTGCTCTAGGACGAGGTGGGGGGGGTTGTGGGTGGGGTGGGCTCCCTTGGAGCAGTGCAAGCCTGCCTCTGGCTGCCCAACTTTCAGGCGTGCTGGGATCAGCCTGATCTGCAAAGCGCAGAAGAAGAGGGAGAAGGAATCAGCCGAGGGAATGAAAGGAGAGAGAGAGAGAGTGAGATAGAGGGAGGGAAGGAAGGAACGGAGAGAGAGAGAGAGAGAGAGAGAGAGAGAGAGAGAGAGAGAGAGAGAGAGAGAGAAAGAAAGAAAGAAAGAAAGAAAGAAAGAAAGAAAGAAAGAAAGAAAGAAAGAAAAAGAGAAAGAAAAAGAGAAAGAAAAAGAGAGAAAGAAAAAGAAAAAGAAAGAGAGAGAAAGAAAAAGAAAGAGAAAGAGAAAAAAGAGAAAGAAAGAAAAAGAGAGAGAAAAAGAAAAAGAGAGAAAGAGAAAGAAAGAAAAAGAGAGAAAGAAAGAAAAAGAGAAAAAGAAAAAGAAGAGAGAAAGAGAAAGAAAGAAAAAGAGAGAAAGAATGAAAAAGAGAAAAAAGAGAGAAAGAAAAAGAAAAAGAAAGAAAGAAAGAAAGAGAAAGGAAAAGAGAAACAGAAAGAGAGAAAGAGAGAAAGAAAAAGAAAAAGAGAGAAAGAGAGAAAGAGAAAGAAAGAAAAAGAATGAAAAAGAGAAAAAAGAAAGAGAAAAAGAGAGAAAGAAAGAAAGAAAAAGAGAAAAAGAAAGAAAGAAAGAAAGAAAGAAAGAAAGAAAGAAAGAGAAAGGAAAGAGA